TTGCACACAATACACAAGCTGTCTCTTGAATTATCCCCCATTTAGCAAGCCTATCCTTTGTGGCCAGTTTTCTATACATGAATATCCATAATATAAATATAGCTTTAGGCCTTGCTGGATTTTTAAACATAATATTTTGCCACACTGGTTTAGTCTGCTCCCCTCTCAGAGTATCATATATTTGCCTGATCACCCCTTTTCCTTCATTAATGTGAACTTGATCAACAATTTGTTTAGCCTGCATTATCTTCCTGATCATCCAACTAGCTTGTTCTCTCTTCTGCCATTCATTCTGTCCTCTTATATAATAAACATATATCCATTTGATCCACAACTTGTCTTCCTTATTTGCCAGATCCCAACAAAGTTTGACTATTGCAGCTCTATTCCATATTTGCATATTTATCAGCCCCATCCCTCCTTCATTTTTTGGCCTACATACCTTCTCCCATGCTATTAAGGCTTTCCTAGTTATCTTCCCAGTACCAGACCACAAGTAACTTCTACACATACTATTAATTACTTTGATTACCTTAGCTGGAATTAAGAATAGCTGAGCCCAATAAGCTTGCACTCCAAATAGCACTGTCTGCACTAGTTGAGACCTTCCTGCATATGAAAGCTTTCTAGCTGTCCATGAAGTGATTCTTGCCATTATTTTCTCTATAAGTGGGTACCATTGCATCACAGTCATCTTCTTGGTTGATAGAGGTACTCCCAGATATTTGAAAGGTAGCTCTTCCATATTGTATCCTAGCTGCTGAACCATTTGATTCTTCACATCTTGTTAAACCCCTCCACAATATATTGAGCTCTTACTAAGATTTGCTTGTAACCCTGAAGCTTGGGAGAATTGTGAGAAACATAGCTGCATAGCTTTAACAGAATCCAAGTCTCCTCTAGCAAACAATAATAAATCATCTGCAAAACATAGATGAGTAATGTTAAGTTTAGAGCACCTGGGATGATATTTGAACTTCTTTTCTTCTCTAAGTCCCTTCAGTAGCCTACTTAGATACTCCATTGCTATAGCAAACAAAAATGGAGAAATTGGATCTCCTTGTCTCAATCCTTTAGCTGCATCAAAGCTCTTTGAAGTCTGTCCATTAACAACTATGGAGTAGTTGACTGTTGTAACACATTTCATTATCCATTTAACAAACATCTCAGGGAATCCAATTCCACACATTACTTTTTCTAGGTAATCCCATTCTACTGAGTCATAGGCTTTCTGCAGATCAATCTTCAACATACTTCTAGGAGAGATGTGCTTTCTAGTATATGTTTTAACCAATTCATGAGCAAGAACTATATTATCTGCAATATTCCTTCCTGGTATGAACCCTGCTTGACTTTCACATATAATTCTCTAAATCACCCCCTGAATTCTGTTAGTTAGCACCTTGGAAATGATCTTATACATCACTGTACAACAGGCTATTGGTCTATACTCTTTCACTGTTTTGGGATTCTGCACTTTTGGAATGAGAGTTACTAGTGTACAATTAAACTCCTTATATAGTTTCCCAGTTTTGAAGAAGTTTTACACACCTTCAATGACATCCCTTTTAACTATCTTCCAAGTATGTTTAAAAAAATAAGCATTGTATCCATCTATCCCTGGTGCCTTATCATCTCCTATGGATTTCAATCCTTCAAATATTTCCTGTTCAGTTACATCTCTACACAGCTGAATTCTTTATAGTTGTGTCAGTGCAGGCCCTCTCTTCATCACTTTTACATTGACTGCTGGTAGCTTTCCTGCTGAAGTCCCCATCAAACTCTTATAAAATATCACAAACTCCTCTTGGATTTCCTGGGGATCATATATCATCTGACCACTTAAGGTCATAATACTTCTTACTTGCTTCTCTTGAGTTCTCTCTTTAATGACTGCACTAAAGTACTTGTTATTTGCATCTCCCAGTTGAATCCATTTAATCCTTGATTTTTGTCTCAGAGCATTCTTTTCAATTAAGGACCATTTTTCAAGATTGATCAATAACTCCTTCTCCTTCATAATCAACTCATCAGTAGCTTGTTCATTCAGCTGATTTTGAACATTTGCTACATCTATTCTAGCCTGTTCAATCTTCTTCCCAATGTACTTGAATTCTTTCATGTTCAGCTGCTGTAGTCTATGTTGTAGATCCTTCAATTTACACCACACCTTCTTCATTGCATCATAACCATATTGTCTTTTCCATGCAGTTTCTACAATCTCCATAAACCTTTCATGCTCAGTCCAAACATTGAAAAATTTGAAGCTACATTTCCCATGCTGTTGAGTTTTTTCCAGAGTTAACATCATAGTGCTATGATCTGAAATATTTGGATTCCCATACTCTACCACTACATGCCCCCAGTTATCCATCCATTCATCATTGCCAAAGGCTCTATCTATTTTACTCTCTCCACATTGCTTATTATTCCAAGTGTAGTAGTTACCATTCCATTGGAGTTCATTAACCCCCATGTCTCTCACACAATCTCCAAAATC